CAGCAAGAACTGGACTGATCAGCAGCTGTTTGGTTTGTGGAAGAAGGGTCCTCTGAATGTGAGGTTGACGCCTCGGAAGACAGTGTGAGAGGGTATCTCAATGGGCGCCTGGATGATCACACGGAGCATCAATCAAGGAACCTTTCTTGCATATTTGACATTAGCATGGACACATTCAAACCACGACAAGATTGAAACAACCTAATTAGTTAACAATACCACATTTTTTACCCTACAGCTTCGGCTTGAACTCAAGTTTTAGTTGTTCTTCCGCCTTCTTTGTCTCCTTCTTCCACCACTCAACCCTTGCGTTGATAACCTCAGAAAACGCTTCAAGCCACTTAGGGTCGAACTTTGGCAACAATCTGCCTGTAGTTCCCGGCACAGGCTCGCCAGCAATTGACCGCAATGCTTCAAAGTATTTCTCGAAGTCGGGCGACAGAGTGAAGAAGGGAATGCCATCACCCTTGTAGTCCAACCTCTCCTTCTCCCACTTTTCTTGCTCAATTCGAGGGGGCAATTTCCCACGGTTGGCGAAGACTCGGGCCGCTGCAACGGCTTGCCACTCAAACACGCGAAAAGTAAAGCCGCCCGTGACCTATGCGAGAGTCAGTACTTAAGCTCCAGGCACGAAGTTCCCCTGCAATCAAGACGTACCATTCCAACAAATGCAAGGGTTGGGTCGTCGATATTGAAAACATGCTGGTAAAGCCCTGGTACTCGTCTATTCTGCACCTTTTGCTTGGGCAAGAATGGGAAGCTGAAGCCATAACCGGTTGCAAAGACGACAGTATCGACTTCATCCACGATACTTCCGTCGCTGAATGTGATGCGTCCACTTTTAGGACAGAAACTAGTAATCTGTGGCTTGATCGTGATATCAGGGTGCGTAAAGGGCGCCCACCCGAATGCGGCCAGGGGTTCTCTAAGTGATGCGATGACTGGTTTTTGAGACACCAGCCGAATGTCGTGGAGCGCATCAAACGCAGACACGGAGCCGCCGACAACAATGACTTTCTGTGAATAGTCAGCTCCAACTTCAAGATAGCAACTATATGAATGTCGGCATACCTTTCCTCGGAACTCTTCCGCGTCACGGAAATGCTTGCTATGCTTGATTCTGCCTGGGAACTTCTCGTCAAATTCGACAAGACCGGGGATTTCGGGGATGTAAGGCAAGTAAAAGTGACCTGATGCCACAACCACGGCATCGAAAGTTTCTTGCCACCAGTAGTCCTTCGACTTTCCGGGTACAACCTTTCGCAGCGTGAGGATCCATTCCTCACCCCTTTTTTCTGCAAGTTCAACCGTGGTGCTGAAGTCAATCAACTTATCGTGCCCTCCTCGAGTGAAAATCTCCTCAACCCATTCTCTTATCAATTCTCGATGTCTGAATGGCGCGCCTGGGCCGTATTGTGCCAATGTTCGGTTGGACAGGACCTGGGGTATCGGCTCCTGCGTAAACGCCATGATTTCGGGAGTGATATTACTGTGCAGCGTCTCATGAATCCCCGTGTCTGAATATCGTAACTGGTGAGAATTATTCTTTTCGGATCTTGGAGTTTCTGTAGGGAAGCTTTGAGGGATTTCAATGGGTGCATTTGCGCGTTGTTCGACTAATGCGCGCAAGGAAGGGATCCGGGGTGGCAGTTCCGGAGTGTAGACCCTACGTGTACAGACATACAGGTCAGATCTCATTCAAATCACAGCTGACATGGGGCCAATGGCCTTCAAGAATATACTCACCATGTCCCTCCAGCCAAGTCGCGCCGTTCGAAGACGCGTACAACATCAAACGCCTGCTCCTTGACCAAAGCGTCCGTTGCGATGGCTCCAGCCGGGCCGGCGCCAATGACTGCGACTTTCCGAATTTCCTCAGGCATCCTGAATCGTCGGGGTTTCTAGAAACTGATCTAAGATACACGAAGGATAACCATATTTGAGAGCAATCGTTCTCAATAAGCAGTGATGTTTGCAAAGTAAATCCTACGCCGGCCTGGTTCCATCCAAAGTGTCTCATCGAATATTGAGCTAATTCCCGAGCGTCCGCTGGCGATATCGGCTGCGGCGTCAGCTCATGTCGGGCACAGTCCGAAATGTCGTGATAAGATCTCTCGATCAACATGTGTAGCTTACCAACACACTTGATGAGGTGGGGCCCTTCGGTGATTGCATCACAACCCCTGAAGAAAACGCAACGCGGGACTTGTCCCTGCGTTGAGTAGACTGGACTGGATGCGCGTATTATCACTCGTTTCGTCCAGACGGAACAAGAACATGCAACGGAGCTTTTCCTGTCTTGAAGGAGGGGCACGGCTCATACTAATGTGATTATTGATCTACAGCCAAGATGATACTGATCAGACTTGGCATTCCAAGATAAGTACGCTCAACGACGGCAATAGGGGGTTAGGTAGAGTCCTCGACAATCGAACACACTATAATATTCGACTATGAAGAAGGTGGTATGTCTTTCTTACAGAACATATCTAAAATGCTCGTTTTCCTTATCGGTCAAGTCCTTGAAAGCGAGCCTATCCCGCTCACTGTCGTCTAGGCCAAGAGCATCCCGTCTCCTATTCTCTCTATAGAGAATAACGTAGAGGCCCGAAGAAGACAGAATAGTGATGCAGTAGCTAGGACGCCGATGTTAGAGGAGTTATAGATGTTGCCAAAATAGGTCGGCTTTTGACATACCAAATAATCAACCCCGTCCATAGCTCAGGATAATGTTGGGCTTTAGTCTGACTCTTAACGAGCTGAGGCCCAACTATGTTTCCAACGCAATATGCGACAAATACGGCAGACGCCATAAAACTTTTCTTGGTTTCCCCTGCAACATTGCTGGCCCCAAGGGTGACCGTCAAGCTGACGACCGGCCCGAAGAAGCCAATAAGTGAGTATCCGACAACAGGGGCAACTGGACGATGGCCCCAGTCTGACTTCCATATGACAATGAAGCCTGCAATAACTGGGAGGGTGCATCCTATCAGTACCGGAATCCGGATGTTGCGGTACTTGGAGCAGAGCCAGCCAGCGAGGGGGATACCAATGGCGCAAATTGCACCCAGTGGAAATTGAAAAAGAATGCTGTCCAAAGCCGAGTATCCGAAAGTCGAAACGATTAGGGGACCGAACCCAGATACAGCTCCGTTGACCGTATACCTGATAGCCAGTTAGTGTGCGCATTCGAGGGGAGCTTCTGTAATTTCTCTTACCCCGAGGCCATTGTCAAGGCGACTAGCCAGACCTTGACGTCCAGTAGTGCTCCCTTAATCTGATCAGTCTTGATAGTTTGATTCTTAACTCCAGTTTGTCCCTGGCGCAATCTCTCAATTGCGACAACTCGCTCTTCCGCAGTGAGAAACCAGGCTGTCAGGGGAGAGTTGGGAAGAAAGAAACACCAAATGCCAAATAGGAACGTTAAGCCTCCAGCAAGTACATAGATGTACTGCCATGGAGTCAAAGAGCCCCCTTGTATCTGAGCGAATCCGTAGTTGAGAGCGCTTCCAATGATGGTAAACCAGCCAGTTCCGGAGAACCACCAACTCTGGCGGAGTGCTTGTTCTCTTTGAGTGTAATAGCCGCTTACGGTAGTCATAAAAGCTGTTGGAATGACGGATTCGGTGAAGCCTGTATCACGGATCAGCATACGTTCAGTCTCTACCACAGTTTCGTTGCCATTGAGTCATTCACTCGATGATGAGAACTCACCCAAAAAGAATCGCTGAACCAAAAGACCTTGCCAAGTAGTTACTCCCGCTGTACCAGCACAAATGACTGCCCAAATCATGACCACAGGGCCAAGTGTCCATCTAGTGTTGAAACGTTGAAGCAAGTACGTCATTGGGTACGACCCAATTAGCTGACCAAAGTAGAAGATTGAAGTTGCCCAACTTAGTCGCGTTGTGTCAGTCTTTGGCGGGGTGACAGAGGCATCGACGACGGACAAGTGCAAGTCACCCGTCATTCCGAACAGAGCAGCACTCCCAAGAATTGCCTGTAGATGTCTGTGAATCGTGCTCAAATCTTCATGAAGCCTTCTTGGGTGCCCACCTTATCATAGTAAACCAACCCGTAGCCTTGATCGCATCGTTCCATGTCAGCATCCTGCCCGACCCAGAGTTTTGGATATTTTGCTGCAATTACCTATCACCATGGCTGGCATCAAGAAGAGATCGATTTTCCGGAGCACCCTCTTCTCAATGACAGGATCAATGACAAGAGCTTCCTCGCCGATTGTCTCCAGTTTAACTGCCTGACTAGGTGCATACTTGTCATCTCCTCCTGATACTGTGAAATATCCATCGTCAAGAGCCGTATGGCGGCCTTCCTCAGTGGTATTGGTTGTCATTTTGATGGTTTTGGATTCTTCTGGGAAGTCGTCAGTATCAAGAGTTTGGAGGCGTTCGGTAGTTCTAGACCACCCTTAAGGAGAGTTTCCTGAGTAAAGGCAGCCAACGCGTGCCGTAACAACAGTCGAAACTAACAGATGAACCCTTGCGACTCCGATATCCTGGTCTGTCCGTGCCATACCCGAGATCGCCTCAACGCACCATTGACATATTGCCTCATCTGGATCCTTCCTGACGAATACTTCGGCCCCACAGCGATGCATCCTCTGCCAAGGGCCAACTTCAGGATTAGACGGCACATCGACTGACTTGTAAGCAAAAGCCTCGGTATGCGTGGTCTGATAGCAATATACCGACATCGGCTTTGCTCTGTTATCAAAGGATCGAGACCCTCCTTTGCCGAAATCTAGGCTTGACAATTGGATTACCAATATTAAGTTGCCTAAATCCTTGCAGCGGAAACTCAGTGCAACGAAACATTTCTTAATTCAGAAAGTTGGAATAGAAAGGGTGTGTGCTGCAGAAATGCCACATGTTTTACTGTTCATTGAACCTCACGCGCTATTGAGACAATAAGCCAAAGACTGGCCAGTCTCTGCGTAGCGAGCTCCAGGAAAAGACCAATTCCTTCGCTCTCCTCTCAAGATGACAATCTCGATCTCAAAGACAGATTCAGTCCATGTACCTTATATTCAAGCTACCGAGACAACCGAGCAGCTAGATTGGGCTGATCTGGTGGCCTTGGACTTATCCAAATTTGACAAGCCTGGGGGTAAACGCGAGCTTGCGGAAGAATTTACGAGAGCGATTGAACAGATAGGTACGATCACAACGCATTCATCACTGTTTCATCATCAATGTCATTAGATAGTCGAAACTGATATCCCATTTTTTAGGCTTCTTTTATGTCATTAATCATGGTCTCAGCCGGGAAGCCATCGATCAACAGTATGCTCTAGCCTCATCCGTTCTCAGTCTGTCGGGTGAAGAAAAAGCACCATATAGAGCAGCACTCGAGGCCGGCGATTTCAATGGTTGGAAGCCCCGAGGCACCAGAGAACTGATCCCAGGCGTTCGGGACAACTTCGAGATTTACAACATCCCAAAGTTCATCCCGGAGCATGCGTCACGGCCGCATCCTGATGTAGTTAAAGATAATTTGGCGACAATCGAGCAGTTCTCCAGATATGTCAACGACGAAATTGTCAGGAAACTTCTCGTTATATTTGCGCTGGCACTCGGTCTCGAGGACGAGGAGTGGTTCGTCAAGAAACATCGTTACGAGAAGTCTAGCGGCGACCATCTCCGATACATGAAGTATTACGCGAGAAGTGAGGAGGAGAACCGAAAGCTAGGTGGTGTTTGGTTGAAGGGGTAAGAATGTCTCCTGGAAGAAATAATTTTTTTCCGCCCCAATAACGTGGGCCCGATACTAATAAAGAGATTGAAGACACTCGGATATGGGCAGTCTGACATTGCTCTTTCGACAACCTGTCGCTGCGCTCCAGGTCCTCACGAATGACGGGTCCTGGAAGTGGGTGCGCCCGCAGACCGACGCGCTGACAGTGAACATTGCTGATGCGCTGCAATTCCTCACGAGTAAGTTGACCTGTTTTCGGTACCTTCCAAACGCCGTGATCATTGACGTCGACATAGATGGGTACCTTAAGTCAAGCATCCACAGAGTCGTAGCGCCTCCGAAAGACCAAGCACATATCGATCGCCTGGGGGTTATTTACATGGTTCGCATAGAAGATGATACGGACCTGGTCCCGATCAAGGAGTCTCCTGTTCTACAGAAGCTTGGCCTCTCTGAGGGTGCGGTGCTTGGAAGTGACGGTAAACCTGTGAAGGCGGGAGAATGGGTAAGGGAGAGGATAATCAAGAACATCGGTGCCACGAGTCAGTCCAATGGCGACAACTCGGTCAACGATCTAGAAGTCATCAAGGGTGTCAAGACGACATATTTTGATTGAGATTCATGATCAATGGTGACAGCCAATGATGTAGGACTATTCTAATAAGTATTTGAGACATAGATCAAGGTGATGCAACAGTTGGTACAAGGGACTCTACTCGCGTCACACAGATACGTAGTTGTTCTTGGCTGCGCATGGCGGTGAGACTGTAGCACCAAATTCCAGTCAGGAGAGCAGCCGCGGAGTCTCGCAATGATTTTGTACAAATTGACCCAGGCCCCCATCTTATCATCTCTTTTCTGGCGAGAAACTTTGTCATTTTGACAACTCTTCGATACTGATACATCGTGGCAAAAGAACTTTCTGCACATCGGCATCACGCTTCTTAAGTCCAGTCTGGAGTCAAGAATTTCGCAACCGGAAGGTACAATAGCATTGTTCAAATTGCGACCGCGCTGACTGGAAGTTTCACTCTTGAAATGTCCGGCATCCCTCTCACCGCTGGCATTGAAGCATCCAACAAATGGCCTCCACACGATGGCCCCGGCCCCGCGTTTGAGCCGGGTCCCGCCGATTTCAAAGCAGCAAAAAAGGCTGAGCGCAAAGCCGAGAAAGAGCAGCGACGCGAAGTTGAAGGTCCCTCTCGCACAGAGAGCATTGTGCAGTCGATCAAAAACAAGTTCTCGTCTGATTCAAATACGCCTAAAAAGTCACGGATAGAGAGGAACCGGGACGGTGTACCTATCTAGTGACTGTTGGGTGGATCATGCCGCGAGCAAGAAAGTCAGTTGAAGCAGCAGAGTGAGAGGCCGTCCAAAATTTGAGCCATGTTGCTAGCAACGCTTACCTCTACACGAACAAATTGAATAAATCACTCACAATCCTCATCGTTGGTGTGTGATAAGCCATTCTCCAGCCATACCTCCAATTTTGCAGCCTGCAAGGCGTGCCGTGGAAAGCCGCGAGTTCTTTAGCGACGGAGTCATCTCACCCTCACGTGGCCTTACTGATCGCTTGACAGATCCAAGCATGACGCAGTTGGTCTGAAAGTGCGGCTGAACATCACAGGCTGAATGCCCAGGCTGTGTGCACTGCGCCCCGGTGCCCGGCTATGCCAACAGACCTACGTCATTCGCCAACGACGCCGATCCGGCCCCGCTCCGGCTAGCTCGTCCCCGCTCCCTGCCTCCAGGAAATCCGCAAGAGCCCCACAACGCGGAACAGCCCCGTGAATCCACTTCCTCCGGTCAGATGATGGAATTCAGTGTACATCGTCTTACCTTTTTGCGTAAGTCTCAAAGCGGCGGAAAGTCGCTCATTGCGAGGCTGATTTAGGTGACAGCTATCGGGACCCTGCGATTCGCTTATTCGGAGTTTTATGAGCTCATCCTGGTCAATCCATGATCCTTCGCGCCGCTAGAAGCCTTCTGGAAGGCAGATTTCATGGTGATCGTGGCTTCCATCGAAGCTTGTTCTTTCGCCCCTGGCAGGCACACGGGTAGGATAGGCAGGAAACTTGGCCTCACTTTCTCTACCATGACTCGATGTTCTACTTAAGCCACCAGTCCCTTCCATCTACTTTCTGTTTACATCTGCCTCATCAACAATTTCAATCTCATCAAACACATTGTTCCATCCATTTCAAAGGGAACACAAAAGCAATACCTCATAGCAAACTCTAAATTACAAGAGTCCTCTTCAAAAAGGATTGATCAAGGTCGACCTACCACAACCAAATTCTAGCCATCCTTCGGCACCTGGTTCCTTGACGCTCAAGATGTGTATCCCATTCCGATCAAAGAAACACACATACAGCGGCTCCGAGTACGCACCAAGACCAGCCATGGGCGGTACACCAAACTACGGCGCCATGCCGGGTTACGTCAATGATTCCAGCGGTGGCTGGCGCAAAAGCCGTGTGCACGGAAATCCACGTGATTATAACGCCGGCTACACGGGAGCGAGTGCTGGAGGCTTCGGCTGGGGCGGTGATGGTGGAGGTGGAGGACACCACGGAGGTGGAGGACACCACGGAGGTGGAGGACACCACGGAGGAGGTGGTCACTATGGCGGTGGTGGTCACCATGGGGGAGGCGGTGGTTGCGATGGCGGTGGTGGAGGTGGCGGAGGTGGAGGCGGTGGTGATGGAGGCGGTGGTGATGGAGGCGGCGGTGGAGGTGGTGGATGCTGAAGTAGGAGTACGGATTGTGGATGGATGCCGAGCGTTGATACCTTTATGACTTGCGATACCTGTTCTTCGTTAGCAGACAATGATTATGAATGATGCTTATAGATTTCTTCACACGAAGTCATGCACGTATGAACGAATTAAAGTAAACCACCTACTGAGGTATGTCTTGGAGACTGGAGAAATTGCGTACCTGCATCCGTCTGTCTATATTTGCAAAACATATGAACTTGCGAACCTAAAGAGTCCCATTGACCTAGATTACTACTGAGTCGTTCAGCACATACTAAAACTAAGACCGTGTTTCTTCATCACCATGTTCAACCCTCGAGGTCCAAACGCTCTCGGATCATCATCCTGCCACAACAGTTCAACAGCTTTGGCCGCTTCTCGGACACCCCCTGGTGATCGCGGATTCGAGTTCAGTCCCAGTCGAAAAGCATGAACATGCTCTGCCTTTTTACAACATGATGCCAAGATCGACCCCGGCCACAGCATCATCCTCCGCAGCGGTGACTTGCTAGCATACACGGCCCAGCACAGAGGCAATATCTTGTCTATCCGAGATTCAATCTCAGCAAGGAGTTCCGCGTTCTTATACATATCTTCGTGAAAGGCAGAATGGAGGATGAGAATTAGAGCTGTGCGGTAAATGGCGACGGCTGTTGATTGTTGGTAGGACGGGCATGCGTCTTCGTCTCTTAGAATGTCGGATGAGGCATCCAATGAGTCTAGCTTCTTCAGGAATGACTTGTAAGATTGGAAGAGACCATCGGACATGGATCCACTCAGTTCCTCTTTCCTACGCTTCTCAAGAAGGTTTGAGACATCTGGTATCATGGCAAAGAGTCCATGGCCGAAACCTAGCATGAATCCTCGCGACTTGAACTGGCTCAGAAATTCCAGAGAGCCAAGGAAAGGATCCAGCGTCACGGGGTTCTCTTCTTGCAAGCCTCGTGGCGTGACTGATAGCTTCAGAGCGAACATGGCGTATATCTCCAGGAGAAAGCCACGGATATGCTCAGTCTTCTTTGAAGCTGACGGCTTGTAGGCCTCAGCTGCCAATTCCGTCACGTAATGACGGCTAGCTCGAATATGATGATAGACGGCCCCCGAATTATCGCCCTGGACCCCCTGCACAGGGTTAGTCGGATGCAACATGCTGACAAGAGAAGAAACACATGACTTACTTCGAAAATGCATAGCATAATGAGAATCAGAAGCGTGTAGAGCTTTTTGTCCTCATCGCGTTCGCCAAATGGACACGCCGTATCGTCACAGAGTGCTTTTCGTAGTCCTTCCAGCAGCCGGGCATAATGCCTTCGAGTCATGACTTCCAACTGCGGGCGTTCAGGCTCTAAAACGGCCATATGTGCCCCTCCGATAGCGAGAACGCAGTCCATCACGAGGCTATCGGAAGCTGCTAGAGGTAGCACGTAGTTGATAAACGGGTTACCATCTGCACTAGGACCACGAGCCAGTAGCTCAGCGGTCATATCGAGGTATTGATCATACAGCGGCCTTGAACTGCTGCTTAAGTTTGAAAGAGTACCGAAAGTGAGAGATGCGCGCAAAGACGGTGAGGTCTCAAGTACTTCCGGGATAGATGCCGTCGTCAGAACTGTTGTTCTAGGTCGACTAGGTAGCGTTGTTTGCTGCTGGGAAGACCGGTTGCTTTCAGAGGTTTCACTCATTGACGGTGTTTGGTTTAGGAGGATGTCTTTGGTACTCTTGTTGGCGATATCTTCTGCAGAAGCAGGCCATGTGCACTCCCGTCTGGTGCGGACACAAGACGTGCAACATGGTCTGCGTTCGTCACACTTCTTCCGTTTAGCGCGGCATGTCAAGCAGCCATTCTTTGACCTAGGAATGTTGCGGCGATACTTAGTCGGGTAGCGTGCACCTTCCTGTGGCAGGTTTTGCTGATCTGTTGCAGTTGACATGCTTGTGCCTGGGCAAGGTGGTTTATGTTGATTTTTGATGTCTGGCTTTGCTAACAGGAATGGCTAGCTTGAGCGCGCTTAGATATTGATGAAGTCGATAGGAAATATTGACTACTAGATATTTCCCAAGTACATCAGTTCTGCTGTAGGCAACCATAAGAAATACCGTAACTTTCTATGCCATCGGATGCCTCTCGCTTGAGCAGCGCGACGCTGACGCGCCTGTCAGCTGACCATCGAAGGATTCGCGATCTGGCACACAGCCCCCGCCCCGCTATGCCCGACCAGTGAGCCAAGTTTGCTGTGAAGCATGCCTAGGTACTGATCAATTATCCTTGATAAATGACTTCAATTCAATTAAATTCGGCAATATTTAAGTGATATGCTGCCTAAGTCTTGATACCCGAGGCGCGACGAAATATCACCATGAGACCTTGAGTTTGTTCTAGCCGAAGGCAATGGCCTGTCTCCTTCCGTATGTTCAGGCGCCTATATCACGCTTGATCTTGTGATTTGGATTACGCTGAGAAATCTCGATCATCTTTCTTTCAGCTCAAGATTATCCTATCCTATTTTTCTCCCATGGCAAGACCCCTGGTACTTCTTCCATTCGTAAAGTATCTAGGTACTGTGAGGCCCTGTCTGTATTGACTTGGACCCCTTGTGCCTTCCCTTTTTCCAACGACTTGACCGAACCTTCCTCCCCATACCTATGGGCGTTGCTTCCTGCCTCCTCTGAGGTTGGCCTTGATGCGAAAATCATGTGACCAAGGTACCTTATGAAAACTGAAGAGGAAGGAGCCGATCAATCTTTCAAAATAATGGAAAGTACCACACAAAAAATTGTTACTGCCACCTCAGGCGGGCAAAACATCTGCATCACCGGGAATACATTGCCCCTTTCCTCCCGTCTTGACAGTGAATGTATTCACAGTCTGCTGCTGATGAGTTTCACCATTCACGTCCACAGTCACTTCTTATTCACCAAAAACTTCAACTTAGAACGTCACGTCAATAAAGCCTCAAAGGGCTTACCTTCCTGTAAGATTGCCCTCTCCTGCGTCCCCTAATTGTGGAAAGTCTCAATAACACAAATACCTACCTTAGGCCACAAAATATTTCTGCGCACATTCCATCACAATCAATAATCACCTGCATATCCAATGGCGGGCGAGAACGAACAAGAACCTGCTCCGCAGGATACTCAACCTACCTCTTCCGCTGGCGCTCCGGCAGAACAGCAATCCGACCTAACTCGAGAGCAAATGCATTTGCGTGGAGGCTGCATCGATCACGATGGCTTTTGCTGTGGTGTCTGGTAAGCATTTCCGAATCATTGGAATTTCATGGCCGATGAATCTGACGAAATATTAGGCCTGCCGATGGATGCTACCCTGGAGCGCTGTGTGCCTTCTGCACTGTTATGTGAAGCAGACGACTCCTCGATACAAAGACACTGAGATCTCTAGATCTCTCTGAAGATAATGCGGTGGTCAGAATGGAGATAAATGGCAAGCAGAAAAATGATAGAGAGATCGCAAATAGTTTAAACCCAATTATCATACCAAAGAGAGACCTCAGCTTCTATAGCTAATTGCACGTGTGATTTCTGACTTTACTGTGAAGCAGGATTTTATGCAAAATTGATAATACTTCACTGATAGTGTTCTTGATCACCCATAAACACCCATTCACTCAGAGTTGGGTTCCCATGGCTCGCTGGGCCTCCAGATTGTTCGCTGCAGAGTGTTTCCGTTGGTAGCTTGTCCGGAAGGCGATTGAAAGGCGAGAAAAGGTCCATACCTTCATTTTATAACCATCAGCCATTCCAATGTTTGAACTCTGCTTTTGTTCCAAATTCGTTCTCACCGTTGTCCCTTTCATCTGACATGAAAGCCTCGACCAAGAGTATCTGCTCATCAAGCATGACTTGATCTCCCACAAGGCCTTCCAGAAAATCATCCTTCGAACTTGCGATAGACTCAGAAGCCAGTTGGCTAGGCCGGTCAGCTACGAGGGTAGCATCAAACCTCGGACCTCCAGCTCGTGCAAGAACGATGCTGACTGCTTGTGATGCCTTCTTTGCTTCAGCTGAGTCTTCGGCCTTTCTCATCCAGATGCTGCGAGCAGTCCTCAACGCAGTCAATATCTCGTTCTCTCGGCCCAAAGTCTGCCTTTGGTGGACCAGCGAACAGAGAACCATGGTGGCTGTCAAAAAGTGGTGATTCATGATCGAGCCTACCCTCCAGTGCATCATGAAGAGCTGGCCGCCAGGGCACGTTTCTTCGTCTAGAGTTTGTTGGATGTGTAGCATTCCAAGGGCCGCATCAAGACAAGCTGTCCTTGAGTACGAGTACGCGTCATCATGCTCTATAGCCGACTTTGCGAAGAGGAACCGGCGATGCAGCATGATTTTTCCCTTGCAAAACATGTGGCGAAGGAAAAGGCGGGCCATGATAACTTGGGGGGAGTCGGTGACGCTGGAGGCCATAGATTTCATGCGAAGTGGTGGAGGGATGCTGTTGTATGCCTGCTCAAGAATCCCGTCAAGTCCCAATATGTCCGCATAACTACTTGGTCTTAGGGATGCTGCAAGGTCAGAGATAGTCCCTAGAGCGATCAGAAGTCTCCTTCGAGCAATGATCCCCAGGGCTGTTGTATGCTCCGTCTCTGGCCTTGGCGGTGGTAGACTTGTCATTTCCCCGTTCAGGTCTTCATCGTTCAAATTTCGTGGTTCGGCTGTGTCGAACTCACCATCTCGTACCATGCGGGGCATTCCCATCTGACCTGAGATCAAGATGTCTCCCAAAAGGACCGTTGCCCATACTCGCCGCCTCATCTCTGCCTTTAGCGGGGCAATTTCTGGAAAGTGTTTGGGGTCTCTGTGATACCCCATTCGTTTGGCTAGGTTGACTTCGAGGCCAAGTAAGAACCAAACATCCTTCTGCGCGTCGTCATGTATCCGGAATTCGACGTAGACGTAATTCATAAAAGTCTCTAGCGCATAGTCGCCACCTTGAGTATACTCTCCCATCAACAGACATTGTACCAGTTTCTCTCGGTACAGTTCTATTTGCAGCTGTTGGTGGCCATCTTCATATACGTCAGTGGAAGGGTCTGATGCAATGACAGCTAAGCAAATCATGCTGAAAAGAAGACCGATCCACATTGGGGAAGTGTCGTTGGGAGCGCGCCAGAACTCTTCGTACTATCACCGATGCCGCTATCAGTAATATGGCCTAGCCAAATATAGAGAAATTGCACTTACCTCGCTGAGAAACGTTGGGCCATGGACGGACGCTGCTGTGCATCAGGAAGGGATACTCTCAAATCCAAGCACTCGGCCAAGATTAGCCGCGGAAAGACTTACATGAAGAGACGAGGTCTAGACGGTTGAAATACCGAGATATATAGCGGTCTACTGCGTTTTTTGGCGGCAGGGCGGACAGGATCTCTGACTTTGAAGCTGCAGGTCGGCATCCGTACAAAAGCAAGGGGCGCTGCCACCTTCGACGTTGAGTGAAAGAGCTTGGATCGTCAAAGCAGTGATCTACTGTTGGACTTTCTGCCAGCTTGGACTGTTCCTCTCGGTCGAAGTGGTCTTTCAAATCGGCGATACTCTCCATGATCGCTGACCAGTGTTCACTGCCGACATATTGGTGTTCCACAGCGCTTGACCGCATAAGTCAAACCCCCCACTTCCCGGCACCCCCCTGTTTCTGGCACCCACAAAAACGCGAAAATCCACCACAACGCAATGCCCACCCCCAACCTCCTTTTATCACAACATTTTCAATTCGAGTCCAAATGGGCTCATTTTTTGCACATACCTTCTTCTATATCTAATGCCTCAATATACCGAAGATCAGCTTCGTCAGGCTCTCGAGGACATCTCAAACGGCAAGAGTCAAAAGAGAGCCTCATTGGAGTATGGGATACCACGATCAACCCTCCAACTACGTCTCCAAGGTGGTCAGACTAGGAAAGTGGCTTTTGCTGACTGGCAGAGGCTGTCTCCTGACCAGGAGAGTAAGCTGGCACAATGGGTTCGCATTCAGGCTTCGCTGGGCCTCGCACCAACGCACCAACAGGTGAAGGAATTCGCAGAGCGAGTTCTGGCTGCTGCTGGGGATACCAAACCATTAGGAAAAGGCTGGATCTATGCCTTCGTGAGAAGGAACCCTATCATTAAGGTTCAGAGAAGTCGTTCCATCGATTCTAGACGCGTTAATGGGGCATCTACTGAGGTCATTAGGAACTGGTTTAAGTTCCTTGCTATCCCTGAGATCAAGGACATCAAACCAGCCAACAGATATAATATGGATGAGACTGGCATCCTCGAGGGTCAGAGCTAATGGGTTAGTGCTGGGCATGGCTGAGACGACGTCTGTTCGCAAGAAACAACCTGGGTCGAGGGCATGGGTCTCTATCATTGAGTGTATCTCAGCCTTGGGTAGGGCACTTCGTCCTCTTATCATTTTCAAGGGAAGACGGTCCAACAACAGTGGTTTCCATTACATCTGGTTCCATACGATGGGTGGGAGTTTACAGCAACAGATAATGGCTGGACTACAGACTTAACTGCCATTGAATGGTTAGAGAAGGTGTTTATCCCACAGACTATGCCCGAGGCTGAGGGCGAGGCTCGACTGATTGTGGATGGGCATGGGAGTCATACGACGACAGACTTCATGTGGAATTGCTATATTAACAATATCCATTTACTGTTCTTACCACCACACTCCTCTCATGTCCTCCAGCCACTTGACCAGTCTGTCTTCAGCCCTGTTAAGTCAGCCTATCGGAAGGAGCTCGGTTACTTGTCTCAATGGAACGACTCTACCATTATAGGTAAAAGGAACTTCTGGACTGTTACCAGAAGGCTCGACTTGCTGGTCTATCAGTCTCGAACATCAGAAGTGGTTGGAAGTGGACTGGTCTACACCCTGTAGCGATGGTTAAGCCCCTGATGAACCCTATGGTATTACCTGAGCCTTCTGCTAAGCCCACCACACCCAAACCAACCAGTCGGGGCAAAAGCGATGCCATAATGGTCAACAAACTACCCCTGTTGAGCCATGGGATTCTGCTTCCTCTGCAGTGGTCTGGTCGACACCCAGGAAGCTGGCAGAGCTCAGCGGTCAACTGCACTTATACACCCAACTCGACAATGATACCAGCACTCAACGGCTGCTGTTCAGGAAGGTGAAAAAAGGCTTCACAGAGCAGGCCTGGCAACTGGCAGCTGCCCAGCAGCAGCTGGCTCACCTGAGGGCTCAAGTTACCAACGCTGCAGTTAGGAAGAGGAAGACTGTTCAGATCGATCCCAACACGAAGTTTGCGAACATCAGGGATATCCATCGGGCTCAAATCGAAGCGGGTGAAAAGGAGGTTATTACGGCTGAATCCAGCGACTCTGAATGCCCTAGTGAGGCTGGCAGTTGTATTGTAGTGGGTGTGGTTGAGGATCAATAGTTAATAGTAATGAGGAGGTTGGGTTGTGATCCCATCGTTTTTGTGGGTGCCAGAAACAGGGGGGTGCCAGGAAGTGGGGGGTTTGACTTACTCCCCGTCTCGGAGCGATCGTCAATTGGCGTAGGTATGTCTACAGGCGTATCAATCTGAATCATGCGGTTCTCCGATGATCCCAACCTTGTGACCAATTGCTCGAGGTGGACTAGACGATCTTGCAGAGTTATATTGCGAGCGCCACCAGGTGTGGCCTTTGTAGGTGGGATAACGTCGCTGATTTCTGGATAGACACATGCCTGGCCCCTAGAGGAGCAGGTTCTACAGGGACGTTGACGATCACATCGAATCCTGAGCAGCATGTTAGAAGCACGGGACAAAAGAGATGGTATAAAAAGCTTCAGGCTTACTTGCGGCGTCGACAACTATGACAGGAAAGCTGAGGTTTATCTCGGCGTCGACTGGCACTGGGTTGCGGTTGAGATGTGACATTCGCCGGTGTACCCGGAGGACGAGGTCTCGCAGCTAACGCAGGATATGCCATATTTGCTCTCTGAAAGACTGCAAACAATTAGAGTTGAAAGTTTAGGACAGAACGACGAAATTCGCAGATTTTAGCAGATGAGTTGTTAATCTTTCGGGGGTATTGATGAAGTCACGGGCCATTTGGGTTGCCTTCGCAGCTTTGTGAATGCGGGAAGTGTACATGTAAGCGCTAATCCCGGACCGGCTCTGGACTTAATGTCCGACCCTCCGACCCTCCGCCCGGTTCTCCGCTGCCCCTTGAGCATATGCTCGACTGCCGTATAGAACCTCGAATGCCTCAAATTTAGTCGAAATTTAGATTCACAGGCCTCTTATGAATCATCCAAGAAGATTTGGTGAATTTTCAGGTGTTCTGATGGCTTGTTTGTTTATACCATAGCGACACTCATACAGCCACATCAATCTCTGGGACCATACTTCCACGGTTCTGTTAGTTCCACATCATCTTCTGGCAACGTGTTGAGAAAGAAATGCAGCATATACAATTCAATCAAGATCAAATACATTTATATTCTGAGATTATGCTTATATAAGGCACATGTAATAGCCCCGCGATCTCGCCAAGTGAGCCACGGCACTCCTAGGAATCCCAGATATCCTGATCGTCATCAGATGGGAATTTGACGAAAGAGTGCAGCTTCACCCATCCTTCTTCAATAAGAGTAAAGAATGTGAGACCTTCCTTCTCCAGCCACAACATCTGCGCTGTGCCGTCCGAAGCAGATATCTCCGTGATCTTAGCCTGGGAGGAAGAATGAACAGCCATCAGGCACCGGATCAGCTTTGACCAAATCGGGCATCCTGGAGTGTCGAAAAGTTGATGACCAGCAAGTTGCCGGTACATATCATACCAGCTCCAGTTGAAGTTCCGCAAGCCCAGATGTAAATCTTTCCGAGCAACCTCAAACGCAAATGGAACGAAGCCCGCTTGGTCCCAGTTGAGTATGGCTACAAGCTTGTACTCGTCACCGCGCTCGGTAGAGACCTTCTCAACAAGTAGATTGTGGGGCTCCAAGTCGTTGTGGCACAAGGCTGAGCTTTGAGTTAGCAGGTCCAAGTCAGTTTCAGCGAACCCAAAGTGTTCCGCTTCGGGCGCAGACACGCTCACGATCAAGGTCCCATCAGTCTTTTCCTTGACCGCGCAATCGGCGTTTCGGGGGCAGAGATTACGGCGCATTAGGGAAGCAAAGTCTGTGTGATATCCGTAAGGCGGACCACCGACGAGGATGGGGAGCTGTGTGTTCTTTGTCTCAAATGGGGTGTTCCGGAATAATTGCCATTGCTCAAAGGTCAGCTTCTGCAAGGAGAGGCTGCACAACTTAGACACTGCCTCGAATAAATCTTCGACTATTTCTCCTCGGTTTTCGACGTCCATATCATCCCACACTGTTTCCAGTGGATAGGCATCTGGGTACCATTGAGAAAGGACATAAGAGACTTTCGTGCCGTCCTTCATCCAACTGTATCCAAAGCCCCAGACCTTCGGAACCAGCGAAGGAAGGACAGTTCGGGCGAGGTTCGTGAGTGCAGCACTTACCAGGGGCGATTCATCTTTCGCGTACTTTTGAATCCGTACAAACAATTGACGCGGAATTCCGGTTGGAGGTTGGTTTTCTTTGAAATTCAACAGAAAGGCGCAAAAGGTCGCGTTATTCTGAAGGACTTGTACCTGGACCTTGGTATCGTCGGTGTCCTCGCCGAGCTCAGGCATGCCCCCGAGGACATCAGGGTCCGGGAAAAGGCCGTTTGGGTTGATGGTATAGGTAGTCATGTTAGGTTGCTGGAGTGTTTGAAGGTAAATGTTGCTCACCTGAGTCGTTTGCTTTCAGCCTAAGGTGCTGTATCTGAGTCGAGCTTGAGATGTATGTAGGAAATGAGTTGATGAGACGGGATTCTGGTCTGAGAACTCGCACTGGCACTTTATACTCAATCACTGGAGATATTGAGACCTCTGGAATCTTTCAATGAGATGATTCGATAGGTTGTGAACTTCACTCAGCAGCCCTTGTTAATGTGCATTGTGTTATTCGACAAAGAACGTTGACTCCAGCCAAAGCTCACTGTTTGGAACGGCTCCTTAGACCTGGGGTTTGATCGATTTTGTCAACTATGATTGAATGCTTCAACAATAAGATTGTATCTTCTGTCTATTGAACTGTGTTAGCGTACATACTGATTGTTGGCTCCTTTTCATGCCACCGAGAGAGCTATACTGCTGCTCACCGACTCTTCTCGGTGTAGGGCCTCGGTGAGGCTACCACATGGTCACTGCACACACCGAGGAACCCCCACCACACCGCCCCACCAGGGATTCAAGATTCAGCAGGAGCTCTGACCTCTCACCTCACCTCCAACGCCGCCATCCTCACAAAGTCCCTCTTACATGTATCGACACCTCGCAAACCCGCCAACATGGACACCTCACGAGACTCATCAAATCTGCTCGACACGCACAATCGGCTCATCGCCGACGTACTCTCCCGCTTCCGCATGCTCACAATGCTCGCAACGATCCAAGCCGAAGGGGAGCGTAAGAACGTTGAGCCTCAGACGGTCGCTGTGACGGGCATGTCGATGCAGATGGAATTCGAAGGACTGGTATGCCACCACTCACCACTTTACCCCCAACCTTTCGTGAAATCTAGGCAGCCAAACACAGTGCCCCGATTGCGCCTAATTCTACAAAGGACAACAACACACAGCGGCTGACTATGAGATCGCAGCACACATCAATCAAAGACCTCCTCGCGCTTAGCCGCCGCCTGAAAGAGCTCTGGCTGTTCGGCAAGCTAGGCCAGGGAGAAGGCGACGCGCGCATCCAGGCGGACAAGCTTCAGGCTGACGTGGTCCGGTGCGCGGAGCTCCTCAACGCCATCCAGGAGACGCGCTTTGCTGGCATTGCAGCCGCGGCAGAGGGCAAATGGGTGCCGATGGGTCGCGCGGATGGTGCATCTGGAGAGAGTGCTGCTGCTGCTGCTGCGGCTGCGGTTCCCCCGCCTGCTGCTCCGACGGCTCCGAATGGGGCTGGTGGCGCTGCGTAGGCACGGGATGATGGATTGACTTGAGAAGTCGGAGGGAGAATGGCGAAAACTACGATTTGCATGCTTTGGCATTTGGGCTTGGGGTTCCCGAGATGAGGACAACGTGTCTCAGGACACGCAATGCTGATACCCGTATACAGAGGACGGAAAGGGAAATTTTGTGCTTTTTTGATTCTATTGTATCATTTTCTATGAGCAGTCGCCGCTGCGCTGTCCACCCTGATCCTCCACATCCAGCAACTCTGTCGGCTGATCTAGCTGACTTAACCGTCACCGTTGACAGGGTTCTCGTCTTCGTCACCAAGCGCCGACTCGAGGGTCTTGCTTCCCTTCTCCTCCTTTCCGGTTCGAACCCCTCCAGCCTCGATGCCGCCGGCCGTGAGCCATAGGAAGTAGTCAGACTTGAAGTTATCCACCTGCTGGAAGAAAATGTGGAAGCTGAATGCATGGTCAGTAAATGTGTTGCATAGAAACGATAGGTGGTCACATACGTGTTCTCCTGCTCTTCAACCTCAAAGATGCGCTGGTAGATCTGCTTATCCTTGAAGGCCTGCAACTTCTCGTCGTACTTCGTAAAGTCGATCGTCTCCTTGCCAAAGTTATCCGCCGCCCGCTTGTTGTAGGCATCGAACACGGGTCGCTCCAAAAGAAGACCCAGACCAGGAGCCTTAGGAATGGCGATCCTCGTGGGACCGTAACTCTCCTTGATGCGCTCCAGTGGGGTGGCGCAACGGACGACGAGGGAAGCCATGCCGACCATCTTGCGAATCTGGTGCATCATGAAACTCTGGCCGTGGACCTTGGTGGAGACCCACTCGGTGTCGCGAATCTGAATCGGCTGCATGTTGACCTTGAAGGACTTGATGTGGCGCTTGGCTGACGGGTCCTTGAAGCTCTTCTGGACGGTGTAGTTGTGGAAGTTGATTGTGCCGCAGTACATGTTCAGGGCCTCCTGGAGCTGGGCGAGGCGCTCGGGGGTGACGCGGTAGCGTCTCTTGGCTGCAATGTAAGCGGCCTTGATGTCGCGCAAGGCAAAGTCGAGGGGGGTGAGGTCGCGGTTTCTGGGCTTGACGCTTCCCTCGGGGACCTCTGCGGGGGCCTTGTTCTCCTCGGTGGGGGCGGGCTCGGCTGGTGTCTCCTCAGTCTTCGTCTCGGGGGCGGGCTTGGCCTCGTCCGTCTGTGCGGTCGCATCCTCGTCGGCGTGGATTCGCTCCATCACCTTGGCCTTGGTCTCGGGATCGAGCTTGTCCAGAATCGGCTTGATGTCCTCCTCGTCAACCTTTCTCCAGTATCCCTCAACATCGGCGAGCTTCTTTGAGAACTCCTCGTAGTAGCCCTTCTCCTTCGCGGCCTCAACTAGCTGCTTCCACAGCCAGCTGTCGGGATGAGGGGGCAGTAGGCAGTATGTCGGCATGAGGTACTCGTACCATCTCGAGTCGCACGTCTGGTAGCAGCTGAAGGAGTTGTTGGTACGCTGGATACCCCAGACACGGATCTGATCGGGTAGGGCGGCGTTGATTTTCTCGACAATGTCTTCGTCTTCGATGATGAGCTTCAAGCTGATGACGTTGCCAGCAGCGTGGACGCCCTTGTCGGTTCTCGCGCATCGGACAAGACTCGACTTCTTGTGGTCGTCGGCATTGGCCTTTGAGATGGCTCCAGCAGCAACAAAGGCTTTGAACAAGTCTCCCTCGATTGTCTTTTCCTCGTTGTTGATCTGCATGCCCTTGTAGCCTGTGCCTGAGTATCCGACCATGACGGCGACCTTTCGCTTCGGCTTGCGACCTTCGGCGGCGATCTCTTCGGCGGTGAAAGGGTTTTCGGTGGTCTCGGGGTTGCCATCCTTGTCTACCTTTCTGCGCTTGAATTCTTGGTACTCGGCATTGCGTCCGCGCTTGTCGGTGGCCTCACGGCTATTCCCTGGTTAGACATCGTTGGCGCGAGTTGCAAACACAAATAACAAGTCAATCGACAAGGACAGAGCTTACCTCCACGCCGACCGGCCGACGTCGTGCTTCCGCTTCGGCCCGCGCGACTTGCCGCCTCTCCTGTTGTCGTCGCGCCTGTCGCCGCGTCGGCCCTCCTGTGATTTTTCCACTGCAGCACCGGGCTGAGCTGAGCCATCTGCGCGGGACTCTGATGAAATTGACGGCTTGTCGCCAGTCGGGAGGTCGGCAGGCTGCCTCGCGGGAGCACCGCCGACCGGTTGAGGAGCATCGTCGGTCGCCATGTTCGAATTGAGGTGGCGGACGTTCTCATCGTCCGTACAATGCAGGTGGAGTTTTTGCGCCCGCCTACTGCAGAAGCTCTTGTCAAGAAATTTTCCTGCGAGCTGCAAGGCTGCGGGACGCGGCGCGGAGAGGCGGGGCCACTCGGCTGAACACCGGTCGGTGGGGTTCCATGGTCACGCTAGTCCTATATAGTCCTAAAGGCATCTTGGTCTGCACAGATATCAATGCAGCTCATTCTCATCTCACTCTCATGGCCTCTCCCTCCTTGCTCACTTACTTCACATGATTCAGTTCTCCCAAAAAGCAGGAGACTCAACGTGAGTATGCCTTCAATGCAGCTCAGAATTACCCCTGAGGCTTGCATCTCATCAATATCAGGTCTCGGGAGATCACTATTCCCACTTTTATAATAACCCGACAAAAGTTGCGCCCTCTGCGGTAAAGCTTGGAGGGATCCAAAGCATAAAGCTGACTAGCGGCCAATTCGATGTGGATAACCTGTCGGACAGAGATGAATGCGATTGGCCTCAGCCTCATACCTCGGAACTAATACGCCAATACGATGCCATACCCGATATCAAGTCCTCTTCGCCTCGCCTCTTATGTCTCCAGTGCCCATCTCGCCCATACATACTCTTCACTTTCCGATCTGACGCTCGGAAACGCAATTCACTAAACTTTCTTCTCTGTCTGCTTTTTCTTCCCAGTTGGCCATTCACTCGCTCCCGGATCCAATAATCCCAGAGCATCATAGTCCGAACGTTCGCTTTGTTCAGATCCGAGCCTGTCTTATATCCACAATGCCAAAGCACAGAAAGTCCCGCCTTGGATGCAAAGAATGCAAAGAACGAAAGGTCAAATGCGATGAGTCGCGGCCGATTTGTATTAGATGCAAGACCGCGGGAAGAAATTGTTCTTACCGAGAGCTGGTCAGCAGTCTACCGACGCCACCAGCCCAGACACCGGCACACCTGTCCACTCCTCAAGCTCCGAGCCCGCAATCTTCGGTTTCCTCCAGTCGTCATTTACCACTGCCCTCAGCAGTACCAGATCCCCACGGCGCGACTACGTCATTGAATCTATCAGAGTTGTCAGATGACTTCTTCTCCGAACGCTTCAGCTTGTTCCACTTCGATCTGCTCCTCTTCTTTAGGGGGGCTCTCACGGATGTCCTCGTCTCCCTGCAGTCCGAAATGGGCCCAATGATGCGTCTGATGTATTCTGAAGCGTTGAAGGCGCCATATTTGATGGACCAGGTCCTGGCCTTCACCGCCGCCTACAAGAGCACAGTCGCCAATGACGAAGAAACAAAGGCGTTGTATCTCACCCAAGCTACCGGCCTCCAAACGAGAGCCATAGGGCATCTGGAAATCGGTGGGCTGCAAGTTAACGAAGACAACGTCATGGCGCTCTTCTGTTTCAGCCTTCTACTTGGTCAGCAGACCTTGTTCGAAGCTTTCGCCGCAGCAACCTCGATACCTACGGTGCTCGACAAGCTCGTTCAGTGTCTGACGCTCCATCACGGAATCCGTGGCATTGTCGCCGAAGCCATGGGAAAGTTCCATGGCCACATGCAAAAGATCCTTCCACACAACCCGGCATATTCTATGGAGAATGGCACACAAGTCCTACACGGCAACGAGTGTGATGGCTTGCTCCAGCGGTTAAATGAAAATGAGATGAATGAACAAACGAGGGGTATTTACATAGGCGTTGTTAAGATTCTGCAGTATCTCTTCGATTCTGTACGTTCGGATGAAAGTCGCAGGCTCGTCGTCATTCAGGAATGGCCTGTTCGAGTGTCACAGGAGTACATAAGACTCCTTCAACAAAGACGTCCGGAAGCTCTGGTCTTGTTATCTTATTATGCCGTGTTGCTACATTGGGCGAAAGATTATTGGGCTGTGGGCAATTCTGGAGAATTTCTCATTCGGGCAACTTCAGATCATCTTGGGACTTACTGGAAAGAATGGCTGGAATGGCCGAATGAGATGTTGAAGGAGGGCGAAACAATGGACATAGCATGAAAGTCAGGGAATGACGATGAGCGAAGTTGACTAGATTTATGACCGAATAAGGTAGTTCAGCATTGTAAACTAGGAAGTATGTATGTATTTTAGGTATATAATGTACATGGAAGAAGTGAAAAGTAAATCTCATCGCGCAGCAAGTCTCTGGGAACCTCGTGATGAATGGAAAAGAAGAATACTTTTGTCAAGTAGAACCTGCATCACTATTGAGACGGCACTATTAAAGCCCGTGGAACATTGGCGCAGCCCTCTTGGTGGTGGACTTGACGGGGCTTTCGGAACAAGACCAGCACTCGGCCTTGGAAGCATCCCCGCAGCCGTCGTTGAAGACCGACTTCTCGGGGTACGGGCAAAGGATACGGTTGTGCGTCGCATTGCCGACAGAGATCTGGATGGGCGTCTGGTCGGGCGCAGTGCCGTTCTCAACCCAGTTGCGCAGCTGCTCAAAGAGGCCAGTCGGGGTCCCGCTCACACCACCGAAGCAGTGGCCCAAGCCGGGAGCCTCGAAGTAGCGGTAGAAGTCCTGGATATCAGGGATAACCTCGTTCACTGCCTTGTAGTAGTCTTCGGTACCACCGGGCGGGATGATGTTGTCAGCCTGCAGACAGAAGATTAGCTCGTTACTTGCATGTTACACAATTCTGGTGATGCATGCGTACCAAACCGTGGAAGGTCACCATCTTGCCCCCGGCTGCCTTGAACTGTCTCAGATCGGGGTCGGCGGTCTCGACAACCGACTCATATTGCTGGCGACCAGAGTACACCAGCGCATCATACTCCTCGCGGCTCATATTTGTCAAGTCAAAGGTCTCATTCTTGGCGATGAAGAGCTTGAACCAGGCAGTACCGAGGTTAGACGGTTCATCTGTGCAGCCCTTCTCATTGCAGCTCG